GAGGTGTGCTAAAGAAAGCAATCTTTCGGTTTGGCTGCCGTAAAACGAATTGAAAATTGACTGCCACTTTTGTCACTGTATGGAGTGATGCCATTAAACGGCCATCATGGGACCCACATGACTTATCCCCACCAAAGGGAGATAAACGGCCTTCTGTATTCCTATATTAAAAAAGATATAGCAAAATGAGAACACTCTACTCCTATTGATTAATAAAAGTTTCAGTTTAAAATTCCCTCGGAAGAAGGCTGGAGAGCCCAGCAACCTAAATATTTATCTATTTTATTTGCCGCAGAGAATGAGATTGAAATTTGAAAGAAATATAGTGAATTCAGGGAGAGTAAGGAGAAATGGATATTTATTCAATGATACTAATTTTATTCATGAGTCCATGGACGAGTAGTAGCATTTGACAGCTGGCTGCCCCGGGCGGAACGAACAAACACGTGTCTCTTGACATAAATAAGCTTTCTAACTGAATATCTGGCTACTCTCGTCACTGTATGAAGTGACGTCATTAAGCGGTCGTCACATGACCCATGTGAATTATCGCCACCAAAGGTAGATAATCGCCTTTTGTATGCCTACAGCTTCTATTAGGAGAATTACTCCTCTATACAGGGATAGAGTATGCGTATTTTTGACTCCCACTGACAGGACAATAATAATAATGAAAGATTTATTGCTAATATTACTTCAGTGTACTGAAATGAAGTCCGTATTAGTTTAGAACGTTTTTTTTTTTTTTTTTCGAGGTTTACTTGGAAAATTTACTTACGGTATTTGCAATCAGATTAATGTCCTCATCTTTGTCATTATTATCACGTTTTGGTCGTTGTTCGAACCGACTTTATTCAGGAGTCTGTCAATCCAGGTAACCTTGAGAGAATTTCGAATTGAACTCTACGGGGGTGGAGGTTTACACCTTTCTTGTTCTGCTGTCCATGTCTAGGGATAACTCATCTTTCTTAGTACTGCTAAGTTATTACTTGCTCTGTTTCCACTGACTCGTTCCACTGTCCATGCTATTCATCTCGAAGCTCTTGACAAAATCCAAAGAAGAATCTTCAATGTAATCGATCCTGACTTAGCATCTCGACTTCAGTCACTTTCTCACCGACATGATGTGGCTTCCCTTTGTCTTTTCTACAAATATTTTCATGGCAACGGCTCTGATCAACTTTTTTCTCTGGTGTCCCATCTACGTGAATTTAAGCGTGCTACTAGATTGGCATCTTGGTCCCACCCTTTTACTGTTGAAATAGTTAAATGTAACTACCACTTCTACGCCAACAGTTTCTTTGCTCGCACTTCCCATCTGTGGAACTCCCTTCAGTTTACTTGCTTTCCTGACAACTACAAACTTCAAAAATTTAAATGCAACGTCAATCGCCATCTTCTATCTCCTTGAATCATGTTCAGCTTTTATCCTTTCCACAATCCCCTTATACCCAGTATTTTCTCTCACTTTCACTCTCTGTGCACCCCACCCCGTGTACTAGTGGCATCCCACCTTGCTTGGGGTGAAATGATTAAACAAAATGTCACTATATGTCTCGTACAACATATAGGCCATCGATTAGGGATATCAATGACACTGGAACAAGAACAGTCTATCCCCGTAGATTAAATAAAAGGTCCAGTTCTGAATTCCCTGTAGGTTACGATGTTCGATATACACCTGATGAAGGTCGGGGAGCACAATGGTCGAAATGTCATGACATCAACAAGACTCTAGAATCTTGAAGCCTTATGAAACCTTCTCAGTAATACTGAGGTTGAGTCATGCATTGATGAATTGTTATAGTCATGAGGATTTGAAGAGTGTGAGACTGATTTTTTACGACTTATCAACCCTTTGTGGGTTATTTAAAGCCGACACATATTTCGGATTGTATGAGGTTGCTTAGAGTACCCAGTGTTCCCAAGCGGTCCCCCATATGAATACTGATTGTGATCGATGCTGTTTAACTTTGGTGACTAAACAAGAACTGTTATTTTTCTGCATGATTTGCTTGTAGGCGAAGAGTGTGAGAACATTTTTGCTCACACCATTAACCACTGTTACTACTGATTAGGTCAGCTGAAAGTTTAGTTTTGTATTTAAAGTCATAGACCGATGCTACACAGGGTTGGAAAACTGGTCAGCTACAAGGTTTCCGAATGGACAGAAAACAATTTTTATTGCCTTTTTTATTTGCCAATGGAACTTATAAAAATATTTTTATAATTTGAATGTCTATCTTTGAGCAGGGAAAACAGTCACTTCAGTGCCTTTACTCTTCACAGGTCAAAGAGAAAGTGACAAAATTATTTTTGACTAAAAATAGGAACCAAAAGGCACGTTTCCGGAACAAGTGAAATATTGGCAAAAAGTATTAAGTATTTTTCACCCACTCCAATACATTGGTTAGTGGAATCAAAGCTTTCTATTGGATCTTAATTGAAAACCTAGTGAAACAGTCATGCAGCTAACTTCATCAGTAGTGACATTTCTTGTTGATGACAGGTCAGTATGTGACTCTTTTTCTCATCGCGCTCTCTCTCTCTCTCACGCACAGAAATAAGCATTTGCTGAAATACAAAACTATATAGGCATGAATAATTTCAATGTTACCAGATCATTATTAGGTTGTCAGACATGAAATGACGCACTATAGCTTAGGAAATGAATAAAACGCTTCTGAAATGTTAAATAATTAATTTATTTAGTTGAAATAGGCACCATGTTGATGAATGACTGTTCGCCAATATACCTCTAAATTCTTTTTCCCATCTTTAAAAAATTCTTATCCTTTGATGTGATAAACAGTTCAAATGCTTTGATTACCTCTTCCTTATTGGAGAATGTTTTATTGCGTTTGAAAAGCTGAAAATGCTTAAATAAGTGGTAATCAGTAGGAAAGATATCAGGTGAATATGGAGGATGAGGCAAAATTTCATAATTCAGGCTATGCAGCTTTTGAACAGTTAATTAAGAAACATGCAGACGTGCATTGTCATGCAGCAAAATTGAGCCACTCCTATTCACAAGTCTAGGATGTTTCTTTTTCAATTTTTTTGTGCAGACTCTCAATTTCTCCACGAGGTTGCTGTTATTGTTTTCCCTAGAGGCAAAAAGGAATAATGAACAACCCCTTTGAAAGACCACCATACAGTATCCATTAACGTTTTAGGATGCAGTGGAGGATTTGGGAATTGTTTTGGTGATTCAATCTAACCACTAACTTATTGTTAAACAGTATCTATTTCTCATTGCATGTGATGGTTCTTTTTCCCAGTTTGTACTCATACAGTAAGATGAGTCGACATTGTTTTATTGTAATCATTTTATTTATGAGTAACAATATATTGAAAGAAAAATTATCTGGAAAGAAAATGAGTCAGGAATAAGTCAATATTATACTTAGGAGGTTACTTCGTTAGACGAACAGATCAACGACTAACCAAAAAATGGGTCATTTCATGTTCGACAACCTAATACATCAAAATAACAAAAACCCTCTATTCTGTAACCCTCTACCTTGAGTGGCTCCCGGATCTTGAACAGAATGAACCTCACTATAAAAAAACATCAAATCAAAGAGAGATATTACTGCAACAAGATATCAAATATATTTTCTGTCTGCAAAAATACTTGGCAAAGAACTAATTTTTTCAGCCATTTCTGGGGGTCTTACCTGAAACCATTAAATACTTGCACACAGATTGCTTAATCTGTATGTGTGGAATTGTCATCTGAGATTGGCAAGATGTCAACTCATATACATGTCAACAAATTCATATTTTTCTCATTGAGATACAAAACTACTTATGTATGAAGAATTTCAAAACCACATTATAACAAAATGCTTAATGAAAATTCAATTTCAAATTTTGCAGGAATTTAAACACCATTTTTCCAGTCCTTTAATCTTCATAGAGAACTATTTTTGCACTTCATCAGTATGGGAGATGCTAACCTCCAAGAGGACAAATCATTGCTTCTCCTTGAGCTCATGTTTTCTACTGACATGAATTGGAGCAATTATATAGAATCCATCGCTAGGTCCCTTGCTAAGATGGTAGGTTGAGTGTGTTGTTCCAGATAATTTTTCTCGTCAGAATCTGCATTTCATATTTATTAAGCTACTATTCATCCATACATTGAATGTTACTGCCATATTTGGTCTCATGCTCTGGCTATATATCACGGAATTCTTGATAAAATCCAGGAAAGTCCTGACCTGGCATTTTCACTTTAGCCATTTTCCCACCACTGTTATGTGGTTTTCCCCACTGTCTTGTCAATGAATATTTTCATGGCAGTTGTTCTAATGGGTTCTCCTTGGTACTTAAAACCCATGAATTTAAGCATACTATTATATTGAGAAATAGGCCTTATCCTTTTACTGTTGAAATAGCTAGATGTAACTATAAGTTTCTTTTCTCACACTACTCACTTGTGAAACTTCTTTCTAATTTCTTGCTTCCATGACACCTACAATGTTCACAAATTTAAATGCAACGTTAATCGCCATCAGTCTTCTTGAATCCTGTTCTTTTATTCCCTTTTCTCCTCACTAAAGTTTTCCTATTCTCTTTCACTCCCCGTATACACTTGCATATTAGTGGCATTATTATCTTATTTGGGGCGTGGAAATGATAAAAAATATCCATTCAATATTTGTTCTCTATCACGTTTCAATTCTGAAAAAAAATATTTTAATCTTATTGATTAATTGATTCATTTTCTATGGCTTATTAATCTGTTGCAGCTTATTTAAAGCCAGAAAATATATCTAAATTGTAAGAATATTGGGGGGGGGGCAGATAATATTGGCTTACTAATAAAATTTTTACTAATTAACCCATAACTGGCAGGGAGAAGAAGTGAATTCATAACTTTCCTAAAGATATTTACTTATAAATGTATATAATGAACCCAACTGGAACTGGTACTCTGCTCTCTGATTAACAATTCTGAGACATTATTCATTACACCACCTGCACATCCAACCTTACAGCACCTGGTATTCTGAACTAGTCACCCATCTAGGTACTGACCAGTCTTGATGCTGCTTAACTTCAGTGATCATATGGGAACAGGTGTTTCAAAGTGATTTAGCCATAAGCCTTCTATTATTTTTAATACAAAGGCATAAAATGAGGTGCTGAAAATTTCATACCCTGATATACACATTAAAAATAAGCACTCTCCCATGCCTAATAAATTGGTGCCGTGGAGGGGGAGGGGCATAAATTCCATTTTTTTAAAAATATATTCCCAAATATATCCACTTATGACCTCTGCAACTGAAAGTTTTTTTTATATGCTACATGCCAGCCTCCAACAGAATATGTATATGTCATAAATTTCAGTCACACATGAAACAAAATCACTTGTTCAAATGCTGCCATTGGAAAATGCTATGAACTTTTGTTCTAATTCAAATATATATATATATATATATATATATATATATATATATATATATATATATATGTACACACACATGTATATACACACATACTAGAATGTTCAAGTTATCTGAAGATCATGTGTACATGAAACACTGCTTATGACTAGAGGCATTCTTTCATAGGATTTAACATTGTTAAGCAGTTTTGCTCAGTCTAGGCAATCTAGGCTTCAAGCACTTCACTGAGTAAGTAGGTTTGCTTTAGGCCTTTTTTCTTTTTATTTTTTCAGTATTGTCATTTTTGTTCAAGCCTTTATCTAGATAAAAGTTTTAGGTTTTGGCATGTTGTCTGTTGGTTCCATCAATGTTTTTTGCTTTTCTTTATATATAATGCACTGTGTTCTGAAAAATATGCTAGGTAAGCAAATAAGTTCTAAATAAAAGGAATAAGTTTTATTAATTTGACATATAAATGTGAACTAGTAAGGTAAAAATTCAATTGCATTTTTCTCAACTTATAAGCAAAACAATCAGTAATTTTGCTCTAAAAATCTGTCTTTCACAAAATTTACATCAGCTACTATTTCATACGATGTAGACTGTATTTAGTTTAGTCTTTGTCCATATTTACTCACTATTTTATTTGGAAAGACCATATAATTTTGTTGTGGAAAGAGATTATTGCAAATTGAATTTTGCATATAAGAGACAGATTTTCAAAGACAAATGTCTGCTTACTCATTGAGTTTCCCTGAAGTGTTTTGATATAATTGAAATAAATGATATAGACATAACCTCATTCTCTGAGCATACATGCAACATCAGTTGTAGGTTCTTCTTATCTGAAGTAGAACTTATTGGTTATCAAGATTTTATAACATTAAGTAATCCCAAGCAGACTACACTGATACCAATCCACAATGACAGACAGGAAATTTTTCAGTTTTATGAGATAGAACATGGATCAGCAGTAGGCTGTTGTTGTTGTCCCTTCCTCCTCCTTCTTTCCTCCTCCTTCTTTCCTCCTCCTTCTTTCCTCCTCCTTCTTCTTCTTTCCTCCTCCTCCTCCTTCTTTCCTCCTCCTCCTTCTTTCCTCCTCCTCCTTATTTCCTCCTCCTTCTTTTCTTGTTCTTTCCATTGTCTTTCCTTCAACTTTTTCTCTTCTTTTCTTTCCTTCTTGTTCTTTCCTTCTTCTTTTTCTTTCCTTCATCTTCTTCTACTTGTTTTCTTTTTTTTCTTTTGTCCTTTCAGGATGTGGGTGATCATGGCTCTCCACAACTAAAGTACTTAATGACCAGATAATCTTTGAGACCATACACAAATTTTTATTCTACCATATATGCAAAAAAGCCTGATTTGAATTACTTTCATGCTCACAGCTGTACAATATAGTGAGAAGTGATTTCTTCTATGGACTGTCTCTCTTCAGAATGTGGGGCTATCATGGTTCTCCACAACTTCTTATCCTTTGTAGCTCATAGTAAGGTTTGTCTTTTCACAATAACTTCAACTCTTTGTTGTGCCATCCATCCATCCATCCATTCATTTACATTTAGTTAGGTTGCTCATTTTTTGTTCAATCTCTTTTGCCTTCAAAATATCCTGTCACTGTCAAATTCTCTAAACCTCTTTTTCTTTTTCTTTTCTTTCTTTTTTTCTTCTAGAAATTTCATTTGTCTCTTTTAGATTCCTTTTTTTTTATATTTTCCTTTAAAATTCCAGTCAGGAGTAGTGAGTAGATGCAGGCACATAAACACCTGTTATATTATTACTAGCAAATTAATGTCTTTCTATTCATTGTCCCCCACTCTTTTTGATTAGAATAAGAGTTGCCTTAACTTTGTTTCTCCATTCATGGGGATTTTCTTTTTCTCTCATGTGTGCAACTATTTGCACAGGGTTTTTTTACTTGTTTTTTTTTTTAATCTTTTTTTGTGTTTGGTTATTTAAGATGTACTTTTTTTTTTTTTTTTTTTTTTTTTTACTTTTCTAATAGTTCCCCATTGTTCATAATCATTTGAAGATTGTGAGTAAAATTCAGAATGGCAGTTTTAGATTGGTGTCCCTGCATACATTCCTGCCAGTGCAAGGGTCTTAAATAGTCAGTACCTAATTATTCACAGTTGATCTTGCATATGTGCAGAGGAAGATTTTAAATTGATTGGGGCTCTCATTTCTTGTTGTACTGCTGATGAAGTTTGGGCTTACAAGCCATGTATGACTTTATGGACTAAAATTGTTCTTCTATCAGATCCTGATATATAATAAAGTCACAGCTTAGAGAACGGTTTCTAAAAGACAAAAAGAGGAATTCTCTGTTGATATAGTCACATGCTTCTGTGGGGTCAGCAAAGCAGGTGTACAATTTTCTATTGAAGAGGTATGCAATTTCTTGGAGTTGTTTACTAACATGCCATTATTACACTCCTTACAAGAGGAAAAGCAAAATTGGGCTGTGAGGAGTTGATCCAGCCTTGTATACAGATTTTCTTGTTATGCATAAATGCACTTGATTGGTAAGTGTATTTTGTGTACACTGAGAAACATGAAAAGTGTTGAAATCTTTTCATCTTGTGATAAATTGAGTGAGAAGCAAAATATACATTGTGATAGGCATTTATTTTTCCATAACATGGCATCGATAAAATCAAATGATTTCATCTTCAGACAACTCTGAGAATTGGCTTAGAAAGATGATCAGTCAAAGAATACATTACCAGAATAGATTTTTGGAATTATTTGTGATAATGAAATCAAGCTGGTAAGAGATAAGTAGATAAACATGTAAACTACAGGTGGGTGCTGAAAAGTTCTCAGCCCAAATTACTTAATAAAATCTAACAATATAAGTAAACATCAAAATTTGTTTGGGAATCTCCCTTTGGTTGCTTTGTGAACTTTACAATACCACCTAATTACAGCATGTGATGGGTAAATTGTCACCATTTTATATTTTTGATTTCATGCATGTGTACAGTTTGTTTTTAATTATGTAGACTGCATAGTATAGTTGCTATCTCACACTACCAGAAATTTGGAAAGAGCATGCTGTACTGCTTGGCATTCATGCCGGAAGCTCCAAAATGAATATTTCAGAGTGTTCAAGTCTCAATCTGGTGACAGTGCAGAGGATTCAGAAAAAGTTGGATGAGACTAATGGTGGTTGTGAAGATGTCTGAAGTGATCACTAGTGATAGCAATGTTATGCCTACATTCATTTTCCCACAGAGACTCAACATGGAGGCCCACACTGAGTTCCTTGAGTATGTAATGTGGCCCTGAAACAAGATGGTGGCTGCTGAAAAGATCCTATGTCTATCAAAAGGACTATGCATCATGCTACACAAGCAAGAGTACCCAGTCATGGCTGTCAGACAATTTCTGCAATAACATCACCCCTTACATCTGGCCACCTAACTTCCCAGACTGCAACCCCTTTGACTATTATGTGTGGGGTGCAGTTAAGTGAGAGACCAAAAAAACTCCTTGTAACACTAAAGATAAACTGAAGGCAAGAATTATGACAGCATTCATCAACTTAAACAAGGAGACCATCCAGAAGAGTTGCACGAGATTCCGAATTTGTCTGGAGGCTATGGTTGAAGCCAATGGTGATTTTATTGAATATGTCAGTTTCTTCAAGATGTAAGAGACCATGACTCTTCTCTCATTCCTTTTCTTATTCATCTGGGAATTGCCATGCCTTTTTGGGAAAAATAGTGCCTTCTCTACAGTTTTAAATTCCTTCTTGGCTGGTTTGAAAAATTTGAAGTACTGCCTTGTACTACCCAAAGTTGAAAAAATCCAATTTGTACACATATTGTTCTATTCACAAAAGGTAAAAGCTCATATAAAAAGTGTATTTTTCCTAGAATGCCCTGCAGATGTAAAAAGATGGGAACTAATTATTTAAGCATTTCATACCACATCCCAAATGAATCTACCAATAGAAAACAATGATCTTGTTTTCAATCCCAAGGCCAATATACAAATAGGACTCAAACCTTTCCAAAACAGAAACTAAAATGATTTGGAATTGGAATGAAAGTAGTGATGGCACCTACTCTGATTCCATCATAAAAATTCAGGATGTGGACTTTGTAAACACCAAATACTTAAAATACCTCAGTATATGGATCAGTTATAATAAATTTAGCATAGAAGATAAGGAAATTAAATATAAAGTAGGCTGTGCTAGAGATAGTTTCACTCAGCACCGCAATTTGTCACAAAACCAAAACATTAACATGAAAACTTGAGTCATTTTCTTAAATAGCCTCATTAGATTAAGATTTTCATATTGGTGTCATGCATGATGTCAAACCCATTCAGAAATATCTAAACTGTCAGCTGCATATGATGACTTTTTAAAATCAATGTTAAAAATGGCTTGAAGTGAAGTCTATGGGTTTTGGTTGAGACCATACTTATTTGGCCCTTGTAGACTGGCACTACAGAATCCCAAAGAATTGTACCAGATAACAAAAAATCCACATCACTTGAAGAATTTCAACAACAGCAACATCTAAAATGGATAACAGATGTAACTTGAAGAGGAAATAATATAGTCAAGATGTTGATGTCCCACACTACTTCAAATAAAAGGTTAGAAAGGAAATCCCCATCAATACTAAAAACAGTTACTGGACTTGAGAAACCAATTTCCCTGAAAAACTGTTATAAATTTTAACCAGCAGTAGTACTAAC